AGAGCAGTGGATGCTTGGGAATAACTAGAATAACTAGAAATAGAGAGTTTCCTTAGTTATTTTTGCTAGTTAAGATAACAGAAGCTACTATTTACAGCGTGATAGTCATATCTGTATTTCATTTATGAATTCAACTATGTTATAGTGTATATTCATATCTTCCAGAGTAAATTACAGGAAATAATCATTTGTCTTCATTGTAGACACTTTTGCATGTATAGTAGAAAACAAACCTCTATTCAATAACTGCACAGAGGCACCATTAAAATCAAATTTACAGTAAACAGAACCTGCAGCTGGGGTAAAACACTAACTGTTAGTATTTTAATTATCAGCGAAGCTTTTGGAGGTCTAACATCTGCTCATAGCCAAATGACAGCAGCTGCTTGTGTACACTTAAAACAATGTGAATTTCTTCTACAAATATTAAAACAAATTGTATGTTCTGTGCTCATTGTAGCCACATTCCTATTAAGCTGCTTAAGTCTATAGGGCATGTTGAACTTCTTTCTTATGGCAAATTCACAGAGGGCTGACCTCTTCAAAAGAATGAGAGGCGAAGACAGCAGAAATACTTGAGTCTGTAAATTGAAAATGTTTAGAGACGGTCCTAGAGGTCACCCTCTGCCAAGATGTTGCTGGTAAACGCTAACAAAACCTCATCGGTGAGTCCTGCTCATTGTGCACCACCGTGACTCCAAGGACAGGGCTTCTCAGCGTGCGAGGGGCGGGAAGCTATGGGAGGGGGTACAGCAAAAGCTAACGTTCATCAGATAAGGAGAAGCAATTAATGCACTTATCGTTAGCTTTATCTCATCAGATAAGCCTACTGTTTTGATAATCAAAGCACCTGAGGAATGAGCATATTCTGTTTTACAGACTTCAGCAAATCCTACTGGAATGAGCACTGATTCAGATGATTAGAAGGAATAATCTGTCTGGAAGGAGGGGCTATGCTGGGATGAAGTGAGATCAGTTGAAGCTGCTGAAGAGGGTAACCCACAAAACTCAACTCTGTCGTTCTTGACTGGGATGCTGAGATACAGCCCATACACTCCTTTCCCTCTTTCACCTGCTGGGAATACAAGTAGGCAAACCAAAGGAGTAATGAACACCTGCTCAAATGGTAGTGTTTGGTAGGGTGTGAGAGAGGGAGCATTGCAACCAGCTTCAGAAGCAAATAAGGAGGTAATAACTGTCTGCATAAGGAGCTTTTAATGTTTTTCCTTAAAACTGCCTTTAACTCAAAACTGGATCAATGGAGAAAGAGACAGTTCTTTGCTTTTAGAGCATCATATATATCGCCAGTGGCTAATAATATTTATATATTATTTTCATAATAGATTTAAAGCTGGAAAGGAACACAGTGATCATTTAGTCTGAAAGCTGAAGGTCATGCCACCTTTAAAAAAATGATTAGACCCTTCAATTGCATATGTGTAACCACAACATAGGATCAATCACCAGGATAGCTGTGCCCTGACTGAAACATGGCATAAGATAAAAGTGAATTAATTATCAAGGCAGTTGCTGAGCTTTTGACATGAGAGACAGAAAATTTCCCACCCCAAAGGTCAATCTCAGTGCAATGAATCCAACTACTTATGTGAAAGATACAACAGGACTTGTTATAGGTGGCCTCAACAGCACAAAGGCCTTCCCCTCCACTTGCACCATCTTTCCTTCTCAATACTGATGTCACCAAGGCCTATAATGCCTAAAATGATGGTCATCAAGAAGAACGTTGATTTTTCTGATCCTATAAATGTTGCCATTTCAGTTCAGAGTGTCACAGGCTCAGCAATAACTACAGGATTATTTCAGTGCCGTGAAGCAGAGCACCTGCGGGTTCGGGAAGGTGGGATGGGAAGTGGGGACTGGGGAGATGGGTAAGTCTCTTACAGCACTACCAGGGGTCAGGTCTGTCACAGAGCCTTCTTTTCATGATTCACCTCTGGTGAAGGATGGAAGCAGCGTGTTTCCAGCGTATCTTCAGAGGAAGAGCTGTTCATATCATTGACCCTTCTGCTGACAGAAATATATTTTCAGTGCTACTGATACAGTGGTGCTTAAATGAGCTGTCTTCCAGTTTCAGTGTTAGAAAGCACCAGGCCGACCGTAGATAAAACAAGACAGAAGACACCAGAGGTGGTGCATGCAGAGCCATCCCTGAACGCTGCTGACGTTGGAATTGCTAAGGTGGTGTGTCATGGAAAGCACAAAGTAAATTATTGGAAGGCAGCTCTGTATAAGGAATCAGAAGCTTATTCCAGTTGCTTCCAGTCAGCCGCAAAGTTGTGCTTTCTAGATCTGAATAATCCTCATGTTACATCGCCAGTAAAACTATTGAAATAGTGAGTTAGAAATAGGAATCAGTGTTTTCAGGTGGAATACACAGCTAATACTAAACTGGGAGGAAGTGTTAACATTATTAAACAGAAAAACAGGACATAAGCAAATACAGAAACAACAACATAAGATTCCACTTGTGCCAGTGCATACAAATACTTGTGGAGAAAATAAATATGCAAAAATGACATTCAATGAGAGATAACGTCCCCTGAGAATTGTAAGGCTGAAGAAATCTCTAGCATGATAGTGGGCATCGAATTAGATGCAAGCCTATGAAGTGATACAGCAGAAAAAGAAAACAGGCCAAAGCAGCGCTTCCTAATCGCACATTCAAAGATATCCTGTCTCCTGCAGATAGCTCTGGTACAGCCACAACTGAATTATGTCTGGACCTCTCTCGTGGAGAGATATTGACTACAGGATATTCAAAGTAAAACAAAGCGAAACCAAAATTATTAGAGGGGTGACTTGAATGAAGTATTGAAGGTTTAAATACATGTATTACGGCTACAACAATCTAGTGTTTTTGACCTGAATGCTAAAGTGATGGAGGAGATTCTTTGTCCCTTTTGGGAGAGCACAATCTGATTTAAGCAGTGCAGCAGTAAAAAATACAAACATTATTGCTGAGAGAAATTTGGGCATGGTGACTAACAGCAACCCTGTTCAGCTACCTGGGCCCTCCAGCCACCGGGCTGAGGAAGCCCCTGTGATGAAATAAGCTGACCAGGCAGTAGTTACGATATAGCTGGATCTGAGTCCCAGTGGAAAATCTATTCCAATACAGAGCAGTTCAGCGCAACGTTACACATCATCCTGCAGGAAGTAATTGGTTAAATTTTGCCAGCAACTCTCTTCTGAACTAAAGTTCACCCACGACTGTGGCGCCTTGAGTCTTAAATCTCCAAAGAATTTGTAATGACTGTCAATCACATGAAGCACAAGGCCTATTCAAATATGGACTGGTAAACAAACCCTGCTATCCTGTCTTTAGCCTTTTTTTAATTTCTTCTTCCTGAGGCTCAATTTGGACTAGAAAAAAAAAAAAAAGTATTTTGAAACTTATTAGAGATCACATTTATCTAATATATTTTAAATGCCACTTAGCTCTTACTTTTGATAGTACTTTTCAAAGATTTATTATGTATCTGTCTAAAACTGATGCCAAATGATGTTTAAAAGCATGTTAATTAAATGATGCCAAATGATTTAAAAACACCATAGTTCCTAGTGTACTTATCCGTAACATGTTGCACAATCCATCTACATTAGTGAATGCACTTATTATTCTATCCTTACATAGAAACTGCTACAACACTGTTAGTGGTAACATATGGGGGCCTCGAGCACTATTACTATTGTTGGAACTTAGTTCACATTTTTCAGAGCAGCAGAATGAAAACTTCAGAGGAAAGTATGATCATTTTTGTGAAAGCTGTAAAGCTATTTATATGTTACAGGATAGAGATCAGATAACCCCCACCCCACCTCCAAAAAAGAAAAGGAGCCTGAGAAATCTAAAAGTAAATCCCCAAATGATCTGATTTTCAAAAATGTTTAGAAACTAACAGCTCCTGCTTATAGTTATGTGAAAGTATTCTTATCTCATTTTTTAACTACTTTCTACTTTTTCCATGTACTTTAGTTTAATGAACTGACAGTTTCCTAACTCCTAGAGCATACTGGCAAAGTGCACAGCAGGAAACATAACTGATTTCAAAGATGTGCAGACTAAAGAGCTCCTGAGCAGCCAGTGCCACCATGGGTGGACGCAGCTGTTTGTTAGGAGTCGCAGGCAGAACTTACGTAGAGATACAAGCTCTTACATGCAAGATGTGAGCATCTTGCACAGAGATTTCATACCAATACCCTAGGGTACCAGTTCCAGTGCTTCAAAGTGCAGTGAGGGTCTCTGTTCCTTCTGGCGTGTCCTCGAGCACCCTTGTAACACTGTTTAGGTGCTTCCACTGAAATAAAAAGGCTCTGAAGCTGTCTTTATCATATTATTTTCTTTACCAAAAGAGAATACACATATCAAAATGTATGTAGACCGAAGGCAACACCAGTAAATTAGGCGGAGTCCAAA